TTTTCAAAAGGTTGTCAACGCATCTGTAACCCTCGGGTGTAGCAAATGTCCATGGGCGGCGGTATTCTCTTACCATCAGGTGAACCGTCTGCTCGTTTGGCAGCTTTTCACATAAAAAAAAAATTAAATATCTTTTTATTCTATTTTTTAGCTTGTTGTTATTAGAGGTAATATAAATACATAATCTCTGAAAATTTCAACTGTCTTACTATCACGGTTCATTAGATAAAGCTTGGTGACAGACGGATGATCGGGTCCCGTTTTACCCTTAAGGTCCTTCCGGGTTCCCTAATAACATTTTACGCCTTTAGGTGAGACGATCTATAGAGACAGCAACTGGACAATGCAATAGCTTACCTCCCAATTGGTATGACTTGGGATAAGACAATACCCAACGGGAACCTGCCCGCTGCTTCTATTTACGCGATGTATTGCCACAGACTTACAAGATTTATTGCTAATATATTATATATTAAGATTTCTAAGGTCTTATAATTCTAAAAAAATATTTCCAGAATGGACAACCGATTCGTTCTTAATCTGACAGTGTAGCGGCTAGCAGCTGTCAAGCCTACATTAAATAAAGTCAACGGGTACCGCACGGCGCGTCCAATTATCAAATAATATTCGATGTCGATATTCATATCGACGTTTTACGCGACGTCACTATCAACCCGTCAGGTCCATACATCAGCTGGGCCTCCCCGCGATCGTGTCGATGATAAAAATTACTTAAAACACCAACCATTAACAATATGCCCCCTCGCGGCCTATCGCCGTCTCGCTCCCGCAGCGGGGGCCGCGCGAGCGAGAGCGGTGCGGCCGCGAGCGGGCGAGATGAAGATAGGCATGGGGAATTTCGGGCCGTGTAACCAAAACGAAGGCGCATTTCAGTTGGGGCCCGTGAAAATGAATAGTAAATCTCGCGTTGTCTGAACGCCGCATCTCGGTAATACGTTATATGACGCGCGTGATGGTATTTGGTGATAGCAACTTGTGAGAAGGGCATGTGAATTGCTCGATACTGCGGTAGACCCCCGAAGCTGCAGTTGCGCGGATCGCTCGTTCGGGTCTCGCAGAAGACAGACGAGAACTTTTTTTATGCGAGAAGATGGCAAGAGAGCCGGCCTTTCATCCGATTTTAAGTGATAACCTTCACCCATGGACATTTGTAACGACCGTAGTGTTGCAGATGCATACCTTTTAATAAAGTACTACCTCGCTCACCAGACGAAACGCAGAAGTGTATTTCCACTGCAGGCCGGTCCCGTGGAGGTTGTGGTACTTACCCGGACGGACCTGCCCATTCGTGCAACAGCGAAGACTGTTGTTTTGTTTGCGCCTTGTGTTATTCTGCTTTCGGTATGGTTGAGTGAGGTAACCGGGGCCCGGTTTTAAAGGTTGGCAACGCATCAGCATCTCCACTGTGGATGTCACTGAGAGTCTTGACATTTGACATCTGGTCAAACGCCTGGCCAAAAAGAGGATACCTACGGTGTTTCTTCCGCCTGTTTCTTCTCCGCTAGAGGAACCTCATTACGAAACGGTGGTAGATTTAAAAATATGACTATCGATAGATGAAATGTAAGTTTCTTTAGTCGATGAATAAATGATTTTGATTTAGATTTTTGATTCTGATCGCTTTGGCCTCATAAGCATATCTATTCGTACAACCTTGAAGACAATATATAATCGTAAACATTAACTTGGGACTCGAGCTTGAGAACCAACATCGTACTTCGCCGTATTAGCAACTAAGCCACTGGGCCTGCATCAAAATTACTGTTACACAATAATTGACGGTAAAACTTGATCCGTTTGATGGATCTTAATGGGATTTGGTTATGGTCCTAATGTCGGTATGTTGATATAACTGAGATAGGATGTAAGGAGCAGATATTATGTGGTTTATCCTTAAATCTCTAGAGTTATTAATGGGTCGTATAAAATATTACGAAGATAATAATTTGATTGGTACAGTCAGTCGTCAGTTTATTATTAAATATTTGACTTGACCGATGTATTTATATGATTACTTTGGCGCTGGCTCTAGTGTCGGGCGTTATGGGTTAGATTCCCACACGGGACCAGTATTTGTGTGTACAAAAAATAATTGATGGTTTCAAAGCAGTTTGACATCAGGCAGGCGGCTGGTGGAAACCACCTGCTTGGGGGTGGGAGGGCCACGCAGCAGTGTTCGCTGTTGCACGAATTGGCAGGTCCGTCCGGGTAAGTACCACGACCTCACAGAAGACCGGCGTGAAGTAGAAGTGTGACACTTCTGCGTTTCGTCTGGTGAGTGAGGTAGCCGGGGCCCACTTTATTTAAAGGTGGTAACGCATATGCAACCTTACGGGTGTTGCAAATGTGACCAAACACCAGGTGAACCACCAGCTCGCTTTCCCCTGTGTAACATTTAAAAAAAACATGTATGGTACCTGAACTCATCTACCTAAGACTACTTGTCTCGTGCACTTTATTCAAAGGAATGTATGTGTAATTGAAAATACACGGGTCTCCCCGTCGTATTTTCAAGAGAAAAATTCCTAATCGGCTAGGCTAGAGTGATAAAGAGAGAAGCAAAAATATATTTGTATTGGTTTCTTGATTTTACGCGAACATTATGCATAGTAAAGGAAACTCAACGTTCATGGTCACGAGAGAGTCTAATGAAAATTAACTAATCAGCTGTCAAATGGCTTTTTAAATGTCATTTGATGTGCCAAAAGGATGGTTAAACTATTTGAATTGATCATTCTGATCATTCTGATTAATTCGGAGAGTTTAACTATATATATTAATCCATATACGGTACATATACCATATGCTCTTTTTGCGTAGATCGGAATTAAAATAAATAACAAAATAATTGACGGTCACGGGATAGACTGAGTTGACCGTCATGAATGCTGGAAAGGGTTCGAAGGGGGGACTCTCCGAACCCTTTCATAGTGGGGAATAAATCACAATTGGAACGCGATAAAATCCGTAAACTAGTTTCGTTTACTATGAATAATATTTCACTTTCAAAAGGAAACTGATCCCTCAGTCGCGAGCACAATCAAGAATCGTGGTGCACCTACTTTCTATATAGTATAGTTTTTTTTTAATGTGAAAAGTTGCCAAGCGAGCAGACGGTTCACCTGATGTTAAGTGAATACCGCCGCCCATGGGCATCTGCTACAGCCGAAGATTGCAGATGCGTTGACAACCCTTTGGAAATTGGGCTCCGGCCACTTCACTCACCAGACGAAACGCGAAAGTATTACACTTCCACTTTACGCCGGTCCTCTGTGAGGTCGTGGTACTTACCCGGACGAGCCTGCCCATTCGTGCAACAGCCGAGGCTGCTGCGTGGCCCTACCACCGTAAAGTAATACACTTAGACAGTATACGCTGAAACAAAAACTTACGGGTGTGCAGCGGCGCGGACGCCGTTTTCGTTCTCCCTAGACCTCGGGTCTGCCTCATCAGAAGCTTTCAAAGCCGCTGGGCTAACGGCATACTACACTTCACAAAAAAATAAGGCGGTGATGGGATTTAACCTGCGGCTTATAGGTTTTGCGTCCAGACGCTTTAACAACTAAGCCAAGCGGCCGATGAACATACGGCGCGAATGTATCGAGTGTCTTGGGCGTTTGTTAAATTTTAAGTAATGCATGGCGCCATCTAGTGTACATACTTAACAGTACGAATAACATTTTTGTAACGAGAGGTTTTGTCTTTGCTCTATTTTAATAATAATGTTTATTTTAGTGCTAGTCTCTTCACTCAAGTTGAAAATTAAAATGTGATTTTTTGGAACAAAGACTTTGACGCTCTGGGGATCAAACCCAGACCCTCTGGCGCAAAAGATAGATTCACCAAGCCAATCAGGTCCAAAAAATTAACGCTGATTATCGGTTAATGCCCGGTTCCTATATTCAACGAACTGCTGTTAGTTACATAGCTTAATAACTTTCCTAACGACTTGTACATAAAAAGCGTGTACGCCCGGTTCCTATATTAACGAAAAGTGGCGTTTTCCTTACGAGCCGTTGCATTACCTACGGAAAGTGAGTTCTAGTAACTCACTCTTTCCTTTAATCTACAAGTCGTTATGAAAGTTACGAAACTACGAGTATGTAACTAACGGCCGTTTGTTGAATATACGAACCGGGCATAAGACATACCTATGCGGTATTGGCCATGGGTCATTTAACTAAAACGTGTCAATTGCCAGTACGGTTTCAGTTTCGTGCCACAGACTAAAAATGTCCGTTCGTTCTGTTACAGGCGGATCGCACGGAAAGGGTTTCCTCAACTAAAATGAAAAAGAAGAGAAAAATCGAGGGTGCAGTGCAACTGATGTGACAGAAGAGACTTGTCGCTCGAAACAAATGCAATCGTGAAATAGAACTGAGTTCGTCCAAACCAGAAAGGACTGGGGGTTCATAAAATTGACCGCGGTTCGGTGTTCTTTAAACGATCAAAAGAACTAAGTGCTTGGGAGAAGGCAAACATAAATCGATGTCCGTGTTGTGAGTGTTTCGGGACCAGCCCGTTGTTTAGTTAGGCGCCTTACGAGGGTTCTGATGACAAATAACCCGTTGTCTCACTTTTACGTCGCCAAGTGTTCCATAACTTATTGGTTATAATAGAAATAATAGATACGAACATCTACAAGTTCCCCGTACCTGTATAAAGCGCAAATTCTGACGGTCAATTACATATAAAAAATAATAATTTTATTACCTGTAGCTGTCGAACGCGCCAAAACGAACTCAGATTTTTTAAACCCCGTCCGTTGTGATAAAAAAATAGAAAACGGTGCGACCCATCAGTCGCCTTGAAGTGGCCAGTGCTATTAACGAAGAGTGCGTGGAGTGTCAAGAAAAAAAAAACAATACTACCGTGACTTTCGGCGGCTGTAAAGTGGCCAGTGTTAAGAGCAGTGTTTGAGTGAAAAGTTAGTCTTTTGACTTTGCCCGTCCAAAGTGGCAGGGGACGAGCACCTGGACATGCTGGGGGGCGCCGAGTGGGGGCAGCGGGAGGCGACGCCCCCCAGGGACGCCCCCCTGCCGAGCTTCGGCTTCACTCAGGAGCAGGTCGCGTGCGTGTGCGAGGTACGCTCCCGTTGCGTGTTTTTTTTTCTGACGTTCTTTTTTTGAACCTTACAACGCGCCAGCCGTTTGGAGGCCGCTGCCACGGTATTGAGTACTATTTTCTTTTGTCTTTTCTGTGACTAAGTGGCAAACGAGCTGGCGGTTCACCTGAAGTTAAGTGATAACCGCCGCCCATGGACATTCGCAGCACCCGTGGGTTTGCAAATGCGTTGCCAGCTTCAAATAAAGTGGGCCCCAGCTACCTCCCTTAGCTAACGAAACGCAGAAGTGTAACACTTCTACTTTACGCCGGTCTTCTGTGAGTTCGTGGTACTTACCCGGACGGACCTGTCTATTCGTCCAACAGTTAATACCATTGCGTGGCCCTACCACTAATTAAGTTTTACTTACTAAAGTGTGGTTCAATTGTGGTAGGGCCACGCAATGGTTTTAACTGTTGCACGAATACGCAGATCCGTCCGGATAAGACCTACCTCACAGTCAAACGTAGTCCAATCCATGGATAATTCTCAACAGAAACTGCTTTCCGAACGGGTGGTAACTTGCGAACGCATTAATTTCCATGTGAAACTCCGCCGTCTCATAAGAACGCGCAAGCGTCTATGTGAACAAAGGTATTTTGAATTTGAATTTTAAAAAAAATCATAACTATGTAGGTACTCGTATTTCATTTTTACACGCAATTGCCTTATACGACATTCTATAGTCTAGTTATTATTATTAGATGTTTACCTATGAAATTGTCGTTTTGTACGAAATAAGTTGAAGTACTTTTTTTTTTCAAACTTATATCTTTAGCAGTTTATTGATGCCCTTCTTATACCCCTACACATTGTGAAACAAACGCTATTTGAAATAACTATTGAACGCTGTGGACGGACCATCAATTTTAATTCAATATACCGTAACAATCCGATTTCATGCCGGAGCAAATGAAATTGCTTAGAGAAATTTTTAGTTTTGACTTTAACACGCGCTCAGCGGTGAAGGAAAGTATCGTGAAACCTTCAAAATAATAATAAAGCCAAAAAGAAATATTTTGTAGATATTTGAAGTCCGCCAATCCGCAGTGGGGTCGCCTGGAGCGCTAATACCCTCTGCGGAGAGGAGGCCTGTGACTAAAAAACAGAATTAAAAAAATATTTAAATGAGGCACCCATACAACGACATGATGTTTTCGAGCCTTTCGTGCGCGAGTCCGACTCGCACTTGGCCCGTATTTTATGTTAAAAGGTTTTTAAGCAAACGAGCATGCAGTTCCTGTGGAGATCTACAACACGTGACTTCAACGCTGGCAAAGCTAGAGAAGACCGAGAAAGAATTGGATGGACTGTGTTAATAATGATAAAGTTGCAGCGTAAAGTGGCAGGTAGGGCCACGCAGCAGCCTCGGCTGTCACACGAATGGGCAGGCTCGTCCGGTTAAATAGCTCACAGAAGACCGGCGTAAAGTGGAAGTATAATACTTTCGCGTTTCGTCTGGTGAGTGAAGTGGCCGGAGCCCAATTTTCAAAAGGCTGTCAACGCATCTGCAACCCTCGGGTGTAGCAGATGTCTATGGGCGGCGGTATCCTCTTAACATCAGGTGAACCGTCTGCTCGCTTGGCAACTTGGCAACATAAAAAAACAACTGCAACGATGATTTTCATTGCTAATATTTCGAGCCAATCCGTTGAACCCGAAAAGTCGACGGCGCGTCGTAACCTTGACGACGAGGCTTTGGTGGGATTCGGATATCCGGTTACTCGGCGGGGTGAGGGGTGGTGGTGGGGGGCGGGGGGGAGGGTGAACGGAGGGCGGTCTGCTTCACCCGCCCGTGGGCGTAGTCCGCGTGGTGAGAGGATTCCATTCGTTGCCATGGTTACGCCCGCCATCAATTATGTGGTGGAAAGAATTTAATAACGAATACCCGTATATCTGGAGTTTTCGTTAAGTACCTCGATCGGTCACCTAATGGTAATAACAGTCTATAACGGCCGTTTTCCATTACCTATTTATTTGTAGATTTCAGAATTTTGACGTAAATATTATGGAGCAATGTCAAATAACTATCGCTAGTGACCAAATCTACAGATAGATAGAATATTGAAAACGGCCAAGTCGCCAGATTTCGTTAAAACAAATTGTCAATAGACGTCATTATTATGCATTTTTTATAAGACATCAGTAAACACATGTTTTTTTTATGACACAAAATTGTCTAATTTCGTCAGCACCGGCAAACATAGGCTTTAAAGAGGTGTCTGAATCATATTAAATGAAACTAGTTTATGGATTTTATCGCGTTTTTTATTTTGATTTGAACTCCCGACGTTTCGAACCCTTTCCAACGTTCATGGTAACGGGACAGACTAAATTGTTATTCGTCTTGATGTCATAGTTAACCCCGGCTACCGTCAATTATTTTGTTTATTTTTATTCCGATCCACGCAGAAGGAGCTTACGGTATCTCGAGGTCTGGCAGTGTTGGTGCACACCAACACTGCCAGACTGGTCTTAATTTCATAAATTTTTGGATCCCAATTAGATGATAAACTCCAACCATCTTCTCTATTGAAATTAGGATGTTTCTTTATTTCAATAGCCTCGCGGATCATCCTTGGAAGGAATCGGTGTTCTTTTGCGAGGATTTTCGGTTGATCAAATATAATAAATTTGACGACCCGAATGGCGTAGTTGGTAGTGTACCTGCCTCCTGCGCCAGAGGGTGTCGATCCTCACTACTGGAAAAATCTTGTGTGATGAACATGGTGTTTTTCTGTATGTATAATATGTATTTATTTACAAAAGAAAAGTATGTTTAAGTATGTTTATCAGTTTTCTAGTACCCATAGTACAAGCTTTGCTTAGTTTGGGAAATGTGTCCTAAATATTTTTAAAAAAAAGTTGTGGTTGGGGCGGTCTAAAATATGATCACAAACTGCAGACTTCTTCAACCGTCGGTGCTTCACGTCAGCTATGTGTTCTTTTATTCTGGTGAACGCTGGCAAGGGTTCGAAACGTCGGGAGTTCAAATCAAAATAAAACAACTATAAAATCAAAATAAAACAACGATAAAATCCGTAAACGCGATTAAATGTTAGTTTCATTTAATATGTATAATATTCGCGTAAAAGCAAGAAAACAATATGTGTCTGAATCATTGAATTGGATGAAGTAATATTGACATTTGGCGTAATGTTTATGAATATGTCCCACTGCTGGGAAAGGCACTGCACTGCACGAAGAGTATAGTTTTGATCGTCTTATTAAAGAATGTTTCAATGTAATTTGTACATTTTTATCAACAAAAACTGGCCAAGTGCGAGTCGGATTCGCGTACGAAGGGTTCCATACCATTATGTATAAAAACGACAAAAATTATGTCTGTTGTATTGGAGCCCCACTTGAATATTTTTTAATCTGTGTTTTTAGTATTTGTTGTTATAGCGGCAACAGAAATACATCATCTGTGAAAATTTCAACTGTTTAACTATCACGGTTCATGAGATCCTGGTAACAGGTGACAGACATTGGGTAGGGAACCCTAAAAAATGAAACGGTTGAAGTCCGTTATTCATTTATATCAGTCACTACATTTTGTATTTGATTTTGAGGAGTTCCAAGTCTCCAAGGAAGTCCAAGGAATTTCAAGTGTCCAAGGTCTCATCGAAATTAATATGGGGCATAGTTCTGAGGTAACAAAACGTGAAAAAATACACCTAACTAACCCCCTCCTTTTGTAAGTCGGCTAAAAATCAAAGGACATTACGGATCCTTTTCCTTTTTGAAGTCGGCTAAAAATCATAGACAGTACGGGAACCCCCGCGCGAGTGCGATACGCGCTTGCACGTTTTGCGGCAACAATAATGACGTATTATTAACACAATTATCCAGCACGAGACGCGACGTATGTCCGACCAACGTCGCGTAAATGAACATGGCCCTAACACAAAACAACACAAACCCATTAGCCACCTAAACAGCCCGCAGTAATCATCAGACAGTGTACGAATAATGAGATGGTTTCACTTGACGTTAAAATACTGCGCTCGCCGACGTGCTACCGTCAATTACGCCACCCCCGTTTCGCAAATTACTTACGGTAACCGATACCGGTGGGGGCGTCTACCCGGGATTAGGGGTGGATTTGGTAATGGATTGCATTGTGCTCGGCGCTACCCTCGTGGCGTTGAGGGTCCGTGATGAGCCGCTTCCGGTCGGATCCGATGTTGAGGGCTTTCGTGATAGCTGCCAATGTCAATAGTAAATAAACAGCCTATATAATTTCCACTGTTGGGCAAAGGCCTCCTCTGTATAGGTTTAGGTAAAAGGGTCTACCATGCGACCCAACTGCGGACTGGCGGACTTCAAATTTCTTTGAAGTATTTTTTTGTTATTTATTCAAATAAACCGGCTTACAGCGTAAATACATAAATAAAACAATTATTATTCTGATGTGACTTAAAAATTAAGTTTAACATTGTATATATACATAATATAATAACACTAAGCTTTTGATCACGAAGTTGACATACCTTCGCGAATGGTGGTTCTCAGTGGAACCGTGGGGGAGTGACCTTCCCGTGGTCCTCGCCTTCTAAATCCTCTTGTTGACCTAATTCATGCTTCAGTTGAACAGTAGTCTCGCGGAACATTTTATTTAACCCGTTATTATCATAGACTGGATGTTCCTTGGTTTAGTCTCGCTCAGTAAAATAAATAAGAAGGTGGTAATTTCCTGGTAATGCATTACTACTGTAAAACTCAATTCACTCTTGGTTAAATGACAAAATATATGAAAAAATCAGTGTTAACTCTGACATCACGACGTGAAACAACCCAGTCCCGTGTCCGTAAACGCTGAAAAGGGTTCGAAAAGTCGGGAATTTGAAAATCAAATTAAAACGCGATAAAATCCCCGAAACGGTGACATTTAACCATGTATAAAGTTCGTTTGGAAACAAGAAATCAATTCACCCTTGCTTGGAAGGCAATCGTACGGAAAGACAGACGCGGGTATGAATTAGTTTCACCTTAAAATTCAACATCATAACATTTTGTAACGCCTATGAAGTCTAAAGGAATCTTAGTGGGACATTGTTCGCGAAGCCACAGCATCGCAGTCACAGTTAATAATTCCGCTAGACTGTAACCTGACACATGCACACTGTAGGTACACGTAGGCCCCGGCTACCTCACTCGCCAGACGAAACGCAGAAGTGTAACACTTCCACTTCACGCCGGTCTTCTGTGCCGTCGTGGTACTACGGGCCCCCAAATGGACCTATGTATGGGCCTGCATGTAAATAATCGTAATAGTCGTAGAAGCGTCGACTTTAACAGTGATTCTTCGAACGTGACAAAGTTGCCAACGCTAATATAGTTCATGCAAGCGAAACGTTCACAATCGCCGAGCCGGTTTGCCAAGCACATGCCAACGTCGGCCCGAGGGTGGTCGCAAACATTACAAACGGTATTTGCAAGGGGCGGTGTTGTCGCGGGGACATCCGGTGTTGTTTTTATAACGCCTAAGCCAACAAAGACTGAGATGCTCTTTGGATCCTCAGTTCAAACAAATTAAGACATCGCGCACGTTGTGGAGACAATTTCTCTTCGGATTTGGCGTACGGAAATGGAGTCGCATTTTTTATAGGTCTTTAGCGGGCCTGTGTTCTACTGACATCCCGTGAGAGGCTGAAGTTTTATGGGGAAACAATGTGTTCAAAGTTTTTGTGGTTATTTTTCGGTTGAGAGATAACCTAATGGTGTTGAGTCCGCCGCTGTACGCTATTGTGCCAAAAGTGTTTAAATAAATAACCGATAGCCAAATAGCGACATGATCATAGATTAAATATATAAAATATACTGAACATGATGAATGATTGCAAAGGGACCAACTTATTACCAACACGTTATTACAAAGTTTTTGAAATTTACATATAATACCAAGTTATTTAAGTAAATCTTTATCAATTGAATTTAATGTCTTTTCGCAAAAAAAGTATTGGCACAGTTGGATATAATTTTTAGTTATTTTTCTTTTGTAACGCTAAATAAGTATATAACTTGTAACGTACGTACATAAATTCACACATACTTTTTTTTAAGTGTTCAAATTCTTTATCGCATCTATCAAGGGGAGTGCTCTGGGGTTATATATAGAGTTATTCGATTAAATGCTTGCTGCTGAATTTCATCACCCGTACGGTTTTAAACTGCTAATACCGTCGCAACCATCTCTATGTGTTGCCAGTCCACCACTGCGAGTCTTTCACGTAATTTTCTGCCCACAAACAGTATTCTATGTTGTTGATACTAATGTTTTTTGGTATTTTAAAAATAATTAGATATTATAAAAAAGACAACGAATGGAATTATAATAAAGACATCAAAAAACAATAAAAATTAGTTAAAAAAGTTAGTTGTTGTGTAGTAAGTTGAAATAGTTTGAGATTGATGAGAGATTTGAGCAAATACCTATATGAAATATAACAATATCTGTAGATCTGTAATCATTAAAATACGAAATGTATAGAGAGGAATATAAGTTTTTGCAATCGGCGTATGAAAGCTTCTGAATGAAAGAAGAAAAAATGAAGTAGTTTTACGTCTAGTTTTGCGAGTAACAGCAATTGAAATACAATGAATAAATATTAATGTCGGTACAATTAATCATGTTATCCAAAACATTCTAAAAAAACATCTTTCATGTTGTGACGTCACTTTGTAGAAATCGTGTCGTTTACGATGTCATTTAATAAACCAACTGGGTAGAAACCCCATAAAAATAATGATAATAATAAAAAAAAAAATAAAAATAAACCAACTGAGCATTGCCACCAGGTGTTGCAGCAAGCGGGCAACATAGAGCGGCTGGGCAGGTTCCTATGGTCGCTACCAGCCTGCGAGAGGTTGCATGCGCACGAGTCGGTGCTGAAGGCGAAGGCAATGGTGGCCTTCCACCGTGGCAACTTCAAGGAGCTCTACAGGCTGCTGGAATCGCACACCTTCAGCCCGCACAACCACACCAAGCTGCAGAACCTATGGTTAAAGGGTGAGTTTAGGTGTCCAAAGGTACGGAAGGCGGCCACCGAGGGCGTTTAGTGGGTACGAACCCCACATAATCCAGTCATGTGAGAAATGACGGGGTATCTTTTGATTTTCCCACCGATACCAAAAAAAGGGGCACGCAACAGCTTGGGCTGATGCACGAATGGGCTGCTCCGTCTAGGTAAGTACCACGACCTCACAGACGACCGGCGTGAAGTGCAAGTTTAACACTTAAGCGTTTCTTCTGCTGAGTAGGGTAGCCGGGGCCAAAAGTACTGAAAGGTGGTAACGCATTTACAACCCTCGGGTGTTGCAAATGTCCATGGGCGGCGGTTGTCACACAACATCAGAACGCCAGCTCTTGCCACCCTCACATAAAAAAAGCTAGGCCAGGGTAAAGTAAGTGAGGAGCTAAGTAGCCTTTCTTTAAGACTGGTATCGCATCGGCAAGGCGCATGCATCTCCATTGGTGACGGTAACCATCTATCATCAGGAATCACTTGCTGGTTTAACAACTACCCCTTTGAGAAATTAAATATAGACGAGTATTCGTATAGTTTCTCTAAACATGTCCCTCACTGCCGTGAAAGTTTTGTAGCATTCCATGTATGAAAATTATTAAAATTAATCAACGGATTAAAGAGCTAAATGGTGAATTTTGAAGTCTATGTTTTTAATCATATTAATAGACAGAGATATTTATCTCGAACGCATCAGATGGATAACCTGTCGCCGTAATTCGTACCATGAGTATGGCACGTAAGAAATCTGAAAACACTATTGAGGGGAAATATTTTGATCAAATTGCGAGGCTAGACTATAAATAAAGACCAACACTGCCCAACCTAACAAAACAATCTCACCCAAATAAATACAATTGGAATAAATTAATCGGGCAGTAGCAACAAGTTTTGCCATCAGATAGGCTTACACTTGACAGCTTTAGCAGACATTGGCATGTAGGATTTAATTTCTCCCTTCTTTAGTCACCTTTTAGAGCATTTGCTATTGTTAGAGAATCTTAAGGAATGTACTTGAGTATTATCGTGAGCGTTTTACTTGACGTATGATCCCTCTCTCTAGCACACTATATGGAGGCAGAGAGATTGCGCGGCAGGCCCCTGGGCGCCGTCGGCAAATACAGGGTGAGGCGCAAGTTTCCCCTGCCCCGCACCATTTGGGACGGCGAGGAGACCTCCTACTGCTTCAAGGTGAGCCCTGCAACATACGCAGCTCTTAGTAAACATGGCAGTTGGGATGTACCATGAACTTACAGAAAACATGAGTATAGTAGAAGTTTAGTATATGGTACTTACATCGCGTGAACTTATCCTTTTTCTATATCTCCAGTAGCTCATGGTTGTATTTTTTTCTTTTATAATGTTTATTAAGTCATGTGTCCTTGATAAATAATAATTAATTAATAAATTATAAATGATAGTTCTACTGTAAGTGTAACAGATAACAAATTAGTTCTCTGTGAGACATTAATTAAGTGAACAACTGTAAATGTCTGTGTGTCAACTGTAAACGCTGTTAATTTGTATTTTTTATTTTCTCTAGTTCCTGTTTCAATAAAGTAACCAGTGGGATTACTTCACAGTAGTGGAATTGAACTAACGGGTTTCCCACATTCTACTGAGCGAATAATAGTCCGTGAATGATGCGATAGATCCAGGCCTTGATTGAGGGAAACATTTGGTCCTTCTGAGAGCCGTGATAGCTCTGTGTCCGGGCGCTCGCCTTTAATTCAATATACTCGAGCAACCTGAGTTCAATCCCCGGTGCCGGCACCAATGAAATTGTCAATTTTAAGTGCTGAATTATCACGTGCTCAGCGGCGAAGGAAAACATCGTGAGGAAACCTGCATATTTTCGAAATAACAACAAAAAAAAATATTTCGAAGATATGTGAAGTCCGCCAATACGCAGTGGGGCCGCGGGGTGGACTATGCCCTGATACCCTCTGTATAGAGGAGGCCTTTGCCCAGCAGTGGGACATGTATAGGCTGATACTTTACTTTACTACTTTACTTTGGTCCTTCGAGCCGTTTTAACAAAACATTATATAAAAGCGGCTGATTGCCATGCCGACGAATATATCAACGTATTGTCTGACTGCAGAGTAAAACTTTTAGTAAACTTTTATTTTACGATTAATATACGAATCGGAGCGTAGAAATAACGTTGCACGGCGGTTATCACTTAACATCAAGTTAACCGCCAGCTCCATTGCCACCTTCTCACATAAAAATAAAACAAAAACAATTTACATCATCACTCGTTCAAATATCTCCTATTCTCCACAATTTTATAACTTTGAGGTCACAATTGCCTGTCTATTGTGACCTCAAATGGGTAGCATGCAACCGGATTGCCTTCGAACAGGAAAAGTCGAGGTCTGTGCTGCGCGACTGGTACCTCCACAACCCTTATCCGTCGCCGAAGGAGAAAAGGGAGCTGGCAGAGACCACAGGGTTGACCACCGTCCAGGTATTTTTTTTATATAATATGTATATACAGGGTGATTTTTAGATGAAGTACATACTTTGACATAATGTTAGTTGAGCATTTCATAATTCAAAAAAAAATATTAATATTTTATTTTGACAAGAAATTAAGAGAAAAATATCAATTCAAATATTACAAATTTAAATTTTGTATACTGCTAATCTCTGCACTTAAGATTGAACATTGAAATATGTAGAAAAAGTACGAAACGATTGTCGCCGCTGTGGGTTCGATTCCCACAGCGACGAAAATCTTTTCCTTCTTTTTCTACATATTTCAAATTCAAACATTGTTTGTTTATACCGTTAAGTCGTCATTCCTATTGATAAGCGGTTTAGTAATTATGCGTTCAACGAAAAGTTTTAGTGCTCGTCAATAAGTTAGGTTAGGTTAGGTTAGGTTAGGTTAGGTTAGGTCATCATTTTAAAAAAAAATAAAAAATGAGGTCACAAGTACGTACCAGATTCAGATTTAGAATCAAACTCTGCATGTGCTCTGTTAATACGTCTGTTGTCTATGAAATCACCCTGTATAATAGTAAGCTACGGACGCGTGAGAATCGAACCTAGTGCCCGAGCGATGTGCACTCGACCGCGCGAGGAAATCCAATATCGCGCTGTCCCGACCGCAGGTACGGTCGGGCGTCAAACTTGTATACCGGTCGACCAGTATTAATGGGGTTATTAGACCATAACGTGATGTGAATCCGACGATATTCAAGGGTACGATAAAACCAACGGAAAATGTCACATCTTCAAAACTAAGGACAAAAACAGAAATGCATTACTGCACTACTCTGACGACCCAATTGGTGTAATGGCGCTGCCTCGTGCGCTATAGGCCGTGGGTTCGATCCCCACTATTGGAAAAATATTTCGTTATGTTTATATCTTTATTATGTACTTATTTACATAGTAATAGGAATTTTAAGTATGTTATTTCATTGTTTGACGACCTGAATGGTGTAGTGGGTAGTGTACCTGCCTCCTGCGCCAGAGGGTGTGGGTTCGATCCCCACTACTGGAAAAATATTGTGTGATGAACAGTGTTTTTCTAGTGTCTGCCCGTTTGTGTATGTTTAATATGTATTTCTTTACAAAAGAAAAGTATGGTTAAGTATGTTTATCATTATGTAGTACGCATAGTACAAGCGTTGCTTAGTTTGGGAAGAGAACTTTGTGTAAAAGTGTGTCCTAAAGTATTTATTTATTATTTATTGATTATTTTATTATTTATTTATCGTCGCAGGTATCCAACTGGTTCAAGAATAGACGGCAGAGGGATAGACAGGCAGAGCACAAAGACAGGTGAGTTCGTCATTATGACGTGCTTTTTACAGGTTCAGGTGTGACTTTGTCATTACGATTCGCTTTTACAGGCTCAATATAGGCTCAGGTGACTTCGTCATTATGACTTGCTGTTACAAGTTCGGGTGATTTCGTCATTATGACTCGGTTTTACGTGAGAGCTAGTAATATTTTCGTTTTCATCGATAGGTATGGTGGAGAATAAAGGTCGAATAAATTAAAACAAAATACTTTAATAAAAAGAACAAAACGTCAAAAATGGTTTCAGTACAGAATTCTCATTGAACGCCAAACAACCATCGGGCATATCTACATCAAAAAGTAAGGCTCTTTTACTAAATACTCAAAATAAAGTACCAAGAAAGCATAAAGATTAGCTTGTTACCCTCAATAATTCTCCGACATATAGGGACCAAACAAACACGAATTTTTTTATAATTATTATTAGTACAGATCGAGTTTCGAATTCGTGACGCCGTGAAGCAGACAACTAACTAACCACTAGGTTCAGGGCCAATGTTAGGTTGTTTCCATACAGTTCATTACAGTTTTTATTAAAATAAATTTCTATGTTTTATTGTTAACGAATACGAATGCGATGTACCAGGACTACATAAACTGTCCGCAACATAAAGATAAATACGTCCATAGTGCCGATGTTCGTTGGCGTTCAACCAGGGCAATGTAACAAGTTAGCATAAGCAGTCGCAATATAAAGACAATGTTCTCCTATTATCGCGAAGTTGGATCCCCTTATTTTAAATTGAGAATTGAAAAAAGTTATTTTATAAAGGCGAAATTGTATATTTTCGAAAACCGGTATTGTATTGTAAACGAGCGACTAATCACTGCAAGTACAAAGTAAAGTAACAGCCTATACAAGTCCCACAGCTGGGCAAAGGCCCCCTCTGTACAGAGGGTACAGTCCATCACGCGACCCCGCTTCGGATTGGTGGACTTCACGATTTCACATATATACGAAACATATTTTTAATGTTTCTTTGGAAAATATGCAGTCTCTTCACGATGTCTTCCTTCATCGATGATCAGAATGATCAATTCAAAGAGTTTAACCATCCTTTTGGCAACTCAAGTAACATTTGAAAATCGATTTGACAGCTGATTAGTTAACTTCTACGATGATCAGTGTTTCGGAAACCGGGCGTGAGCCACGGTTCGCTAGCCAACCACTGCACTCGGGAAATCCACCAGGCTAGCATGAACCGTCGGCGGCATAACAACGACGATCATCGCTTCGTCCCTTTTTTTAAACTTCCGCGCGGCACTCCGTAAAAGGGTCAACGTGATTGGATTAAAGACCCAGATGGGAGATCGGGGCTTCGTCTGATTAACCAGCCGCCGAGTTATCCGTTTCGACGTATGCCTCCGGCTCCGTCTACCGTCAAAAAAACCGCATTCGCCCGAGAAAAAAACGGAGAATAATTTATAACATCTAAATGTCAGTCAGCCCGAACCAGTGGCGGATTTGTAGGTTCATCAAACTTATCCTGATATCCTTTACTGTAAACTCGGGCAAACATAATTCGTCGGCAGTAAGAACAACAAGTCATTGAGTTCGACATCAGTTACATTTGAATCCGTAACACGTGATTACTAACTTGCCTCAGCCAACGTACCAGGCTAGCATAAACCGTAGATAGTATAAACATGACAGCATCGCAGCTTCAACTTTTGGCAACGGATGGGCCAGTCTCGTTCCGAGAAGTACTACGGCTTCATAGAAGACATGAAATGGAAGTTATACTTTATCATTCCTTCTGGCGAGTTAGGTACTTGCATTCACTCTTTCAAAGAATCTTCACTGTTCCGATAATCACTTAACATTACGTGAACCGCCTGCTCGCTTGCCATAAAAATGCATATCCAAAGTTGTCAGTGTTGTCACTGTTGACAGGATACGATCTACTTCCCTCCAAAATTTGTATATATTATTATTCATTTATAATTAGGGACGCCTCAGCTACGCTAAGATTATATCAGAATTGGAACCATTATCGGAAACAAGACTAAATTAACAAACAAAGCCCACATTTTGGGTTTGATGACGTGTCGAGTTGGACTTGGCAATCTACCAAAGCCAATATGTTGGGGTCGGACGGAGAGACAACGGAAAACAAACTTAATGTATATGTTTCCGAAAGGTGTTTTTCTATCACCACGCCATGGGCGCCCGAGTACTTTATGAGAATTTAGAAACTGAGGCATTATTTTGATGACTATGACGAGATATAATCAAATAGTTTGAATTCAATGATATCGTTAGAAACGTTTTCGTATAATGTATCCTCAGTGTTATTTTACGTTTGTCTTGAAGTCACATTCGACCGTAAATCGGTAATTATTTTTCAAAAAAGTTATGTCAATTATAGTAATAAGAGACATTTGACAATAAAAGGTCTTTCGTTGATGATAACTATTTGAGTTTACATATTTTAGATAATGTGCGAAATTATAAAGTAATTAGTGATATTGTTTTTAAGTGTATTTTTTTTAATACCGTTCTGATTTAGCCAGATTATCTCTATGGTTACAGTTCATTTTTAGGGTTCCGTACCTAAAGGGTAAAACGGGACTCTATTGCTGTCACCAAGCTGTATCTCATGACTTCGTGGCGCAGATGCCAATGTATTGGCTTCGGCGTCGGGGTCGTGGGTTCGATTCCCACACGGGACAACTATTTGTGCGACCCACAGATTAGTTGTTTCGCATCTGGGTGTTTGTCCTCGTGCAATTTACGTTTGTAAAACGTCCTTACAACACAGGATTATTTTATCCTAAATTGAGGGCAATGTGTAAAAAAAACAAAAAAAAAAACCGTAATAGTTGAAAGTATTGAAATTTTCACAGATGATCTGTTGTAATAATTAAATATTTCATTCCATATTTTTACACAAACTTGTACTATGGGTACGTTACTAGGCAAATAGTAATCATACTTAAAAATTCTTTCCTTTCGGAAGTAGACATTTACATATATATATATATATATATATATATATATATATATATATATATATATTTTTCTACGATGATCAGTGTTTCGGAAACCGGGCGTCAGATTTGCAACAATTATCTTTGAGTCGCACTAATAGTTTTCCCGAGTGAGTATCAAACGGCACACCCACGCCGCCGCAGCCAACCGTTTAGCAACTACGCCACGGAACCTCTACATTCAAAGTATTTATTTGCTTTTAACACGGTATCACAGGAATGTTGCAAATCATCAATACTGAACCACATGTTAAACTTTTATATAGCATGCAAAATATTAACGTTATCAACAAAATCAATTGCTGCACTTTGCTGTCTAAATAAAATTCACAAAACAGTAACAATCGATTCTAAATTAAATGTCACAATTTATAATAAAGAGCTAAGTATGAACTTATTAATTCGTTTACTTATTCCCAGCTGTCCCGTATATGTGTTACTCGTACCGTATATTTGTCTCCTGTCTCTTGCACCAGAGGGTGTGGGTTCGATCCCCACTACTGAAGAAATATTGTGTGATGAACATAGTCTTTTGTTGTCTGTGTGTTTATATATATATATATATATATATATATATTTGAGTTGCCAAAAGGATGGTTAAACTCTCTGTACTGGTCAAAATGATCTTCTTAATGATCATAATGATTAACGGAGTTCTGTGATAACAAAAAATTGAGAGCCTCCTTCTTTGGAGTCGTTTAAAGGAGAGTATAAAACAATAGCCGAGTGGCAGAAGCCGCTGCTTCGATTACCAACTGATTTGTTTTTAATGTCCAGGTCGTTTCTCACGTACCATTATCACAATGAACTGGCAACAAGCCCATCACTTGTCACCTACAGAACGAAACTCGGTGAGAACATGATGAATCGTCTCCTACCGCCTTTGGGTTAAACACGCTTAAAAATACCGCATTTACTCCCCCAATCCGAATGCATCGCTAAGAACTACGGATACATTGACAGTGGAAACATCGTATGATGTACATTGCTTGCTTAAACTTGCCTGTCTCAGTTTCGCTCGCAATAAACTTCTCCATGTATGCTATGTGCAGAGTTAGGACCGCTCTGGCGTCGTGGCGGCCCGTCATCGTTAATGCCACCCGGCTATAGTTTCAAGCGACTGCGCTGTTTAAAAATAAACACGACCAACGCACACAAGCATTAAAAGAGTAGTGTCACCATATGATACTACCGGACTAGGACATTCCTTGATTTGATACAGAACTAAAAACGTCCGTCACTCCGATATAAGAGCAAGTAATTATGCGTAAAAATAATGAGTTGTAGGAACTCACTACTTGTAAAAGCTGACTATTGTATTATTAAGGATTCTATCACGTTTAACTTAAGCTGTACGTCATGTGTGTGGTTAGACCGGTGTGTTTGAACTCAAAATTAATTCACATTCTAAACAAAGATATAAGCGCGTGAAAGAACTTAATGTCCTGTTTATAACTAAACTGATTTTTATTTAATAAGGTAAGACATACAAAAAAGTTGACCGGCTTACTAAAACGATACTCCGAGGCATTTTAGTCATGCGCCTTAATTTTAAAGAAAAAAAAATGCTTTCTAACTTATCTTAAGTATTAGAGGTGGGCAAAACGGGATTTTCAATGAATGGGTCATTGACGAAACGTAAATATCAAAAATTATATAATAAATTAATATCTCTATCTACCGACCGTCAATTAATATCTACCGACTCTAAAAAGTAATATTACAAAATATACAAAAAGTTTTTTGCTTAAAATTAAGACTATTCACGACTGAGACACAGAATTTACGTCTTCAACAACAGTTGTGATAGCAATTCTTATTTCATTATTTACACCTAATAAAAACAAATATAAAACGTTTAAGATCCTAATCATATAGAGATAACTGGTGCATTAATAAAACTGTGCTATATATTACACAAGCTGCTGCCCGCAACTACGTCTGATTAGAATAGGCTGAAGGCGTAACATTCAGACAGATAGACAGAT